TGATCTTTGCTCTTGCTGCCATAGGTTCATCTGTAAAGAAGATCTGCACTGACATCAGAGTTCTACAAGCAATGGGCGAACTTCTGGAACCGTTTGAAAAGGTCTGTGAAGCATAAATTCCAATAGCTTTTGGTTGATTGACGTGGGTTTAGGACCAAATTGGATCGTCTGCTATGCCTTACAAAAAGAATCCAATGAAAAGTGAACGATGTTGTTCTCTGGCTCGGAAACTTATCCATATGCCACAAGTACGTTCGTCTTTCTTTTAATCCTACGAATTTAAGTAAGACTATGTAGGAAGCACTAAGCATACTCAGCGACCAAGGTTTGGAACGCACTTTAGATGATTCTGCAGGACGTCGAATGTTGTTGCCAGACTCACTGCTTACTACAGAGGCTCTGCTTACTACACTGCAGGTGAACTTCTAGTTGAATAGTGTATCTCTAGTTAAATCACGAAGATTTCCTAAATTACAGAATATCTTTGAAGGACTCACCGTACAAACTGAAAACGTCGCTCGTGTTGTTCGTGAAGAGTTGCCATTTCTTGGATTGGAAAAAGCAATGATGTGGTTGACTGAAGAAGGTGTTGACAGGCAGAAGGTGAGTTCTTTAATTTTTTTAGTAAAAAATTACAACTCGTTTGGTATTTCCACTAAATTAACGTGAGAGATTGCGGGTTTTGGAACTCATGCGAAATCATTTTAGATAGTTTTGTACTCTGTTCTATCAACTTTTCATTTTTTTGTCTTTGGTACCCTCAATCAGCACTATCATTCAGGCCCATGCGGTCATTCGCACCACGGCTCTTGAAGCAAAAAAGCGTCAGGCGACCGAACCCGTCCACATGGAAGACATATTAAGTGATCCGTTCTTTGATTTGGTAAGTGCTCTTCTGGCTTGTTACTTATTGCCTATTTATAGTAACAATATGTTGCGTTTCGTAGATTACGAAGTTACTCCCTGTCGTTTTAGGTCCGCGATCGTGTAATGGCTCTTGTAAATAAACCGATCAGTTTCACTGGTCGCTGCGAGTCGCAAACAGTGCGGTTTTTGACTGAAGAGCTTCGTCCAGCTATTGCTCCATATTTCGATTCCAAGGCTGGTAATGTTCAACTGGATGTCTGAGGTTACTCTGATGTACTCACATTGTCGTGAACTCAGTCATTTTTGATGATTTGCATAGACGTGTTTTATTAGGTAGTTTCAATGACATTGTTTTATACATCTTGTACGTTTTACAATTTACATATGCCTTGCCCTTGTTTTGAAAGAATCTGGCTTTATTCAAGATTGCTCACTATTCTGATGATAATGCACTTTTGACATAATGAAGTTTTATGATTTTGTCCAAATGGTGACGTGATCATGCGACTTGGCTGCGGTTTTTTACCATTCTTAAGAATGAAATGGATGAATAGTGGTTTTCATGCTTTAGACTCCAAGAGCTTCGAAATTATGCGCGTCTCATTCGGTACTCGAGAGGACTGTCTTTATACGAAATGTTATTGCGAAGAGAATGTTTACAAGTGAGCTTATCTGAATTTTCCGTTTAAAGTCTCCAACGTTTTACCTTTTTGCCTGATCATTTTGCATCTGGTTGGATTAGATCACTTTAGATAACTTTGGATAACTTTGCTGAACTTTATGAGTTACCTTTGAAATGAGCCAACAAAAGCTTTGAATAGAAGTGGTCACTCTGAGAACGTAAAACGTCGAATGCACTCTAGAAGGGTGATTTTCAAAATTGTTTCCCCTATATGCGAACATCTCTTCGCACGAATTCTTAAGGTCTATTAATGTGGTAATTTGCTTGCAGGAGGGATAATTAGCGGAAATCTCAATTTCAAATTGAATGGACAATTAAGAAGTTATCTTTGATGGAAACTCTGATCCTGATTAAGTGATCCTTTGCTTATACTGGAGTTGAACTCTCAAAAATAACCAATAAACATACGCTCTTTTCTTCAGGGATCTTTCTTATCTTATTTCGCAAATGTGGAAGGCAAATCAGAATTAATGTTCGAAGCGCACTTAAAAGTTTGCCAAGAATTTTTAAAAAAACATTATGCGAAATTTTAAGACCTTCATTTGAATCAAGTTCAACTGGCCTGAACTTCGCTTTCCTTCCATGAGATCTTTTCTATCAGAGTAATGAGAAGACAGTTTTAGACTATGTGAGCGAGTGCCTTTGGACCAACGTGAAAGCTTCTACGTTGTATTTATATCCAATTCTTTGAAGTGTGCTCCTCTGTTTGCTCAAAGAGCTGCTACTGAAAGGTTCGTTATCTATCGGCCAAACACTAGTTCACATTTTTTTCCTTTCAAGACCCTACGTTATGTGGGATTACCATGTTGTACTCCTCGACATGTCCAATGAGGAAAAAACGTTGGTCTGGGATCTCGACAGCACGCTTGAATTCCCATGTGAATTTGATGAATATTGGAACGAAACTATTCGACCGAATGGCTGGAATATTCCCTTTGAATACAACAGGTCTGCTGTTCAAGTACTATTCAAGATGCAGTACAATTCTCTCTTTTTTCTAAATGCTTCTGAAAAGCGGTAAGGATTGCGACAAATATCCTAGGAGCCAACCGATCATAACTGCTTCTGCTCTTTGATCATTATGGTAGAGATCATTTACTTTCAAACTTTAAAAATGATAAGTTGACGAATGCGAAAAGGAGGTATTGTCAGCTACAGTAAATTATTGAATAACTAAATTAGCAGCACTTGACCCAGTGACCAGGATATATATATATATATATATATATATATATATATATATATATATATATATATATATATATCCCTCTCTCCCTCTCCCTCTTCCCTTCATCTTCCTCTTCTCTCTCTCCAGGTGTACTCACAACCCTAAGCATTGAGTTCAGAGAAACGGCATTTAATATCACCTTATGCACCACACTGAGAATACTGTTACAGCATTGATTTCCTATGAAGTCACATTTGATGACAATATAAATTTTTTATGAATTCTGCCGGCACCTCGGAAGCATAGGTTCGATACTCCAGAGACAAGAGAACAAAAGTGATAGTGATTTTAACTATGGACCTTTGC